ACAGAAGGTTTGAATCTCATTGACGCTGTGTCACAATAAAAAAGAAATGTGTTTGCATGATTATTGCCTAAGCAATTGAATTTCCATGTGTCCTATCTCTGCTTTGAGTTCAGAACAGTTAACCTAAGCTAGCGGTGTTATTAAAAGTCTTATTGAAACATGTTCTCAGAATGTTATTTAATTACCTTCAAATTACCTAGCATTTCCGCTCTCAGAACGTTAAGAAAAACCTCCCAGAAAAACTTTCAAGGAACCAGAGTAAAACGTTCTCAGAACCTCCCTGCAACCTGATATTTTCACTTCTGTTCTCAGAACGTTTAAAAAACGTTCAGTTTTACCGGTCAGGAAACGTATGGCTTTGTTCCCAGAACCAATGGGAAACCAAAAACATACGTTCCCATAACTTCCAAGGAACCAAATGTGCTAACTGGGGAGGCTTTGACCACAGCTGCTATGGAGGTTTTATCTTATGACACACAATATGTATCATATATTTTACACGTGGGGGATCTATGATTGAAAACCGTGTCTGATATAGTACATGGAAACCTTTGAAGCTGAGACATATACTGCACATGTTTGTGACCCCACTGAACTGCTTTTGTGAGTTTTATTGAAATCACAATGACCTCAAAGACCTGAAACACATACATCACTTTGGAGCATGTCCTGCTCTTACCTACATCACTGATGTTATCCTACTACAGAGTTTTAAACTAGTTTGAAGCATATTTTGGACCAATCGAAAGATAAATCAAGCCCAGAGCTTTTGCTTGATAAGGTCACCCTATTCTGTAGCCAGACTAGTCAGTCCACTGGTTCTGACGCTGAACCATGCTTTGGGCCTTGTGGTCCTAAATGTGGCAAGTCTAGGGCCGGGATTCAATCCAATCGTGGATTTGGACAATGAGCCATTTAAAGGTAGCTTCAGATTGAGCCAACATATGTAGCGTTTACCGTGCATGTGCTTTCCGCGAACGTGGGAACATTGCCTTTAAAATGTTCATTGCCGACAAGGTGTGCTCGAATTGAATCCCGGCCTAGGTTGGCACAGAGCAATTTCCAACATGGTTATTTGAGTGCTGTGCGAGTGTGTGTGTGGGTGTGCGTGTGCGAGCAAGTGTGTGTGGTGGGGCGGATATGGACAGTGGGTGGGCTGTACAGTTGACACACAGTGAGTTGACAGACAGGAGTATAGGGGAACCGGCGGTAGTGGGGTTATTTCCGTATATTACAGCGTGAATGGGGAGAAGCCTGTCAGTTAGTAGGGTACACCAGGGATGGGGCCTGCTCTGCTCTGGGCATACCTTGGCCCTGCCTGTGTGGCTGGTTGGATTGGCAGGTTGACGGAGAGCATGTCAAACATGGGTTTCACTTTATTTCCATGAACTCCACACTCCAAAATGGAGGTACCTCTGGGCCTATCCCTAGGCCCTGTTCACATTAACATTACACTAATGCTCTAACACAGTACTGAATGTTCCAATCTAACTTCCATCTGCATGTAACACAGACTTTGAGTTCCATAACTGAAATCTGTACTAGAGGTTATAATCACAACTGTATTATCTGAACATTCCATACATCTGTGGCTGGAACTGCACTGGGCCTGCTGAACACGGCTCGGCTCCTGTAAAGCGGTTATCACAAACTTTTCCCTGAATGCAGCTATCTTCTGTACGTCAGAAAGAGTGCTATGTAATGTGAGAAATGTGTACTCCCCTGCCTATCTGGGGTCCATCACAGATAAATCCAGTCACCTGGTTGGAGGTGCTGCCCCGCGGCCCTGTCTCTGTGGGACGGGTGGGTTTGGAAGCCCCCAGTAGCGTGTGATTTAGGGCTGAGGAAAGGTGTCCCACAGGGTGGACTGGGTCAAGGCCACTGCTATCCAGGCTCACAGAGCCTACACACCTGACAAGATAAACTGACCATATCCTGTCTCCATTCCCTAGTCCTGCTCCACCCACCTGATACCCTGAACCACAGTCATAATCCAGCACCTGGGAGAGAGGAGGGCGAGGGGGTGAGGGAGGGGTTAAGGGGGGTGAGAGAAAATGGAAGGGGTGAGGAATAGGTTAGGGGGGAGGCAGGGGGCAAGGGAGGGGTAAGGGGGTGAGTAGTCTTGGCTAGGGGTGAGGCGGGTGATAAGGGAATGGGCTGAGAGGGCGGGAGAGGGGAGGGTGGGAAGAGGAATGGGTCAGGGGGTGAGGGATGGGTTGGGTGGTGAGAGACGATGTGTGAGGGATGGGCTGGGTGGTGAGAGAAGATGTGTGAGGGATGGGTTGGGGGAAGGATGGCTTAGAAGGGAGTTAGGGGAGTTAGGGAGGATACAGACCCTCTATGGGGCAAAGGTTATCCTCCTGCCCATGTGTATTTAATGAGATGGTTTTCACTACTTACCTAAACACACATCTACACACACACCCAAACACATGAATGCTCTCTCGCACGCACGCAGACAGACAGATGCACGAACACACACACACACACACACACACACTCATACACACAGGAGCCCCAGTGGCAGTGTGCTGCTGTTGACAGCTGGTGAGAGGCGATATGTAAGAAGAATCTGGACAGCTCCAGCTGTAGCCGGCGAGCTCTGGGCCACATCCAGCCTCCGACAGGAGGGGAGGAGGGTCACCCCTCCCTAGGATGGAGCAAAGCGGCTGTCGGTTTCACACTGTTCACCTCCCAATACTTCACAATCAGTGAGCCGATCCATCTGGAGGAGAGATTGGGGGGGGGGGGGGGGGGGGGGGGTGTAGTTTCTTTCAACACACAGGAATGCGGGGTCAAGAAATCTGTTGAGTTGGTTTGACCCCCACATTCACGACGTGAGGAATGACCCGTGGCTGAGCACACTGACTGCTGTAAGCTCAGAGGCGCAGTAGCTCTCTGCGTAACATCTGGGGATCAGAAACACATGTGGGCTGCATCATAGGCCAGGTGTGAATTGATAAGGTGGTGCAGTGGTTTTGCCAGTAAGAGATGTGGATCTGCCCCATGTATAGCCTTCTCCTCATGCCCTTCTATCCCAGGCCAGTGTGTCTTAGTGGGACTATATAGGTACTCTAGGCCTACAGCCAAATCTGGTTTGTTCTGGGTTCACCAAGGGAGCACTGACTTCCTTCCTTGACTCAATTGTCAATCTATGAGGCAATTTGTGATTGAAAGAGATTCTGACCAATGGGAGGATTTGACAGTCCTCCTCTTCTCCCCTTGTCATTGTGCATAGACTCAGAGCAATATGTCCTCAGAACACTAGCAGAGGAGGAACAAGGAAATGTGGTTGATTTTAAAAACACAATCACGTGACAGAAGTGCTGCTTGGTCTGTTTATTACAGGTATCACCACATCTTCAGACAATGTCAAACATTTTACACTGTTGTTTAAATGCTTCCATTTAAATAGAGGGAAAAGCAAAACACTGGAAAGATACTCAACATACTCAACTCATAACAGGAAAACACCTGCAAAGCCCTTGTCCAAAAGGTACTGGAAATCAACTGCTTTAACATTAGCCGTTCTTTTTTAAAACATGCACACTGCTAGCAAAGACATCTGTGTTGATGATGACATTGTGTTCTTGTTACACGATTCAGTAGAATACAATACACAGAGCCTTGAGATGTGGTATTTATTGAGCTTATGACTGCACCATTACGACACACTGTGTTTGCATGTGTAGTACACTAAAAGCCACCATAACTTGCTACTATAAGGACTGCAGGCTCCAGTTATAGGTGTATTACGGTACTGTAAATGTGGCTTTGTAGAGAGCAGATATCTTAAATATTTTCAAGGTTAAATATACCATATGCGGTTGCTATTTAAATACATAATGTGACTTTTAAGTTAGATTGACCATTTAATGGAATTTCTTTGAATTTTCTGAATTTTCTTCATCTCTGCAATGGAAATGTACAAAAAAAGTTATCTTTAAATAATAATGATAGCAGTACATTCAAACAATAGCATAATAATTCCTCTGTATTATTGTTGTGGTTTTAAATATCTCGTGACGGGAAGCTTCGTGCGGACAATTTGTCTGTCTGTCTGAGAAATCCATATCTATTCAGTCTACGAGGAGTGTCCGTCAACGTCTCTCTTGATGAGAGATCAGTAGCTGACCGCTGGCCCAGATATGATAGCTGAGTTAGTTTGAGGATGGTGTCACTGATGCAAAGGGTATATATGTTTCATCCTCCTCATATGGGCCATATGACAGCTTACTATGTACTATAAGCCACTCTTGATAGTATGTCCACTGTACAGATAGTATACTCTGGCACTGATATCTTAATCTCTTGCCAGTCCCCTTGGTCTTCCACTCCACTGATTGAGTGCATCTCCTTTACAGATTGATGTTGGAATGAGGAGGTGAGCGAAACACTGAGCACGGAGAGACACAAATACAGACACATTACAGACACATAGGGGCTGGCGAGTGAGCATTGAACAAGCACAGGGCTGTCAGCGAGTGGAGTGCTATAGAAGGAGAAGAGGTGGGGCTAATGGGAGTCTCTTCTTCTCTACTCCTGTCTTCCCTCTCGTCTTCTGTAAGCAGCATCCTCTACTCCTACTGGGATGTGGAAGACTGCTTCGTTTTTCTCTCCCTCTCTTTTCTCTTTATTCTCTCACTGTGTGGTCCTTCTGAAGCACTGCACTGTATGTTCTAAGGGGGCTCCTCTGTCTCTGTTTTTCCTCTCTCTCTCTCCCGCTCTCTTTCGTGTCCTCTCTTTATTTCCACTACTGACCGTTGTGACCCTCCAACACCATGTACTTCTTAGAAACCACTTGGTCCTGCTGGATTGGGTTCTACATTCCTCTCGCTCCCCCCTCCTCCCGCTACTAGTATTTTCATCCCTCCACCACAAGGTCCAGGTACTCTTGTCTCACATGGTCCTGCTGGTCTGGGTTCTGTCCTTGTCCTCTGTCCCTACGTCATCAATCTCTCCTTCCATCTCTCTCCTCCCTCCCTCTCTTTTGTTTCCCGTTACCGGCATCCACAGCCCTCCACCACCATGTCCTGGTAGTTTTTGAGGACCACGCGATCCTGCGGGTCCAGGTAGAGCATGGCAATGGGGCTGAGGGCGGTGGGCACACAGCAGGCCCGCGGCACGGCTCCGTTCACCGAGTTCACCAGCGTCTGCACCATGGCGTGGCTGGATGAGTTCATGTGGTCGGCCAGCGGGAAGCGGCACTCTCCCAGGCAGAAGAAGGCGTCGTAGCCGCTAGGCGCCACAATCCACTTGTTCCAGCCCACGTCTTTGAAGTCCACGTAGAGCGGGTGGCGGCGGCAGCGGGCGCGGGACAGACGCTTCAGTTTCGCTGCGCGGCCGCCATTACGCTTCACTCTTCCACCCTCGTTCCAGCTACCGCCCCAGCCAGGACTGGCGCTCCGGTCCCTGTCCCTCTCCCTGTCCTTGTTTCTGTCCCTTCCCCGGTCCCTGCTGCTACTCCTGCCCCTTTCTCTGGCCCCCTTCCTCCCCCTCATCCTCTGGGCAGTGCCGGAGGTTCTCCGGCCATGGGCGGCTAGTGCCTCCCCGCGCCCATCATGGCTGTAAGTAACCAGCAGGGGTCTCTCTCGTGCCCAGCTGTGTTCGTCCTGTCCCAGAGATCTGCGCACCCTCAGGTGTCCCTCTCTGCGCCCTTCCTCCCCAGTGGAGAGTGGTAGAGCATCATGGTCAGGGGGGGTGAGGAGGGTGGTGTTACCCAGAGGGGTCACCTCTATGAGGAAGGACAGGCTGCCAGTCCGAGCGTGGGCCCCCAGGAAGAGTTCGGTGCTGAGGCTGAATGCCTCCCAGGACACAGCTGGCTTGGTGCTGGGGGCCCCTGTGAGGAGCCGTGACTCCAGCAGAGTGGGCTCAGACTCAGAGTCCCCAGGGCCTCCAGAAAGGAACAGGCTGACCCTGTGGGCCCCGGGGCCCAGGCTGGCCCCACCACCCCGGAAGAAACGCAGCTCTGCAGACACCACACGCTCATCCTGGGGTATGGAGGACACGTTGAAGGAGATGGGGACCCTGCTGTTGCTCGCGGTGGTCTGCCTCTTTTCAAGGGGGAGTGAGGGACTGGTAGACTCTGCGAGAGAGGAGGGACGGAGAGTGAGAGAGAGAGAGAGAGAGAGAGAGAGAGAGAGAGAGAGAGAGAGAGAGAGAGAGAGAGAGAGAGAGAGAGAGAGAGGTTAAGATAGTTCAAAGAAGAAGGTTCAATTTTTAAAACAAAATTGATGTCCTCTGCAGTTCCTTGGAGGTCTCTCTTGTCGGATTTCCTAAATCAAACATTGTAATCTCACAATGTCAAATACAAGGTCAATTGACCTGTCGACCCTTAACTTTAAATGTCAGACACATTCAGTGCCATAAACAGTTAGATAAGCTTTTTTTTACACACATTAGCATCAGCATAGGATCTCCACTTGTTGCTGGTTAGCTTGTGGGTGTTATGGAAACATCCATGTTATCAAATGGAAAATAGATGGTCTGAATTTGGAGCCTACTAACTGCTAAGGTGGAGTCATAACAGAAAGAGACTGGGTATCACAGCCCTGTCGCCATCAATGCCATCTAACCCTGACTGAAACTACAAATGGAATGTGTAGAACAGTGTCCATTAAAACATATTGTGGAACTGATATGAAACAGTGGCAGGACAAGATAGAACAGCTTTGCAAACTATCCACAAAGTGTCTCAGATTAGGAGTGCTGATCTAGGATCTGTCCATATGATCTTATTTATTATGATCTAAAAGGCCAAACTAATCCTAGATCAGCACTCCTACTCTGAGAGGCTTTGGGGATATGGGCCCAGACCCCATGTGTAATGGTACCTGTGTGGAAGCTGCGTACGGTGTTGGCCTCCTGGACATGCTGGCTGGGGTAGCTGAAGTGTGGATCCTGGACTAGGTGGTACTGCTGGGAGTGGAAGCGGTAGAGGTCCAGTATGTACTGGGGGATGGGGGCACCTGGCCGGGGGTTGGGGTGGGACTGCAGGCCCAGGCGGCTCAGCAGCAGGTTCTGGATGGTCTGGGACAGGCTGGGGTCCAGGGGGGTTGGTGATGACGATGACAACGACAACACACTGCCATCGGGCTCGGTGGCTCCGCCCTGGCGACCAGACGAGGCTTGAGGTAGCAGCAGGACCATCAGGACCAAGAGGTTAGCAGGGAACATGGTGGATCTACATGAGGGAGAGGGGGAGGAGTGGGTGAGGAGAGGGTGAGGAGAGGAGTGAAGTTAGGGTTTATTTCAGGGAGGAGAGGAAACGGAACGCTTAAGTCTTTCACTTTTTGACGCTTCAAGTGGTGCTCTTTAAAGTCCCACGTGTTCATTGAAATTCATATACCATATGCTTAATGTATTTTTCAGTAAATTGGAGTGGGGGGGTTGAAATACCACTATTCACAACTTAAATCCTATGAGAAAAACTTCTACCAATATATCATGAGTTTGTTTTCTCCTCTCCCAGTCCCCAGCAGACGAATTCCTCATCAGCAGAGTGTGAATTATACAGTGACATTCAAAGGTCTCTATTATTTTACACGACTTCCTACTTCCTAAAAATGTTATGGGCCTAATAGTAAAGACATGTATTTTAATAGTAAAGACATGTATTTTAATAGTAAAGACATGTATTTTAACAGTAAACGTGTATTACCTTTTAATGTGGCTTGAACACAACCAGTCATGATGTTTTTCATCTGATTGTCCAACAAATCACTTAAAAAAGTGGGCTACCTGCGCATGTTCGTCCTCTCCAAAATAATTCCAGCATCCAGACAGTGCACTGTGCATCTGCCATTTGATGAATGGAAAGAGACATCTGTTACAAAACATCAAAACGTTTTATGACATTTGGCGATTGTCATTAGTACTACACTCTTGTGAATTAATTGATGCGTCTTGCTGACAAATTGACCTTTTTTGTCAAAAGAAAGTCGAGACACCTGAAAAGGGGCAGAAATACGGGACGTAAATACAGCTATGTTTGTCCCGAGCTCATCGGCACGGGAAACTGTGAGGGCCCAGTTTAAACAATTATGTAAGTTCACAATAATTGTGAGCTGGACCAAGTTGATAATGTTGCAAGTTCGTTAGTGGGCTGGACCCAGTCGGTACAATGTTGCAAGTTTGGTAGCGAAAGCTCAAGACAGAGAGCGAGGCAGAGAGACAGAGACAGATAGAGAGGCAGACAGGTGGAGTAGAGAGATGAATGCGATTGAAAGAACCTGAATCATCTGTCACTGGCCTTAAACCATGACAGAGAGGTGGGGGTGTTCGTTTCATTTGGAATAATATTTTATTTTCATATTTACCACTGTAGCAGTACAAAGTTGCATTTGAAACAAATAGGAGAATGGTTAAATTAGAGACCCCCCAAAGGCCCCTTCACGTAATTCACACACTGCTCGTCAGGCTGTTATGCAGTAATGCTGGCGCGATATCAAGAAATGTACTGCTGGAGTCCACGTGAAGTTGTTTGCTGGATACACATGGCTGTAAAAACAGCACCACTTTGTTTTCCTTATTGTTAATTTATTGCTATGTGTTGCCAAGGCCCCATCTTTTAGGAAATTCAAGCACGGGGGATAAGAGTGATTAAGCAGAGAATATATTCAGTGTGTGTGTGTGTGTGTGTGTGTGTGTACGTGCGTGCGTGCGTGCGTGTGTGATTTAGGAGAACCTTAATAGTAGGACTGCTAAAAACCATCAATTAACTAAAGCTAGTTGACTTTAATGGAGAATAATATCTAGTGAAGCTACTGTACTTTATATCTCTATTGCTCTGATTTACTTTCCAGAGCTTAGTTGCTGAATGGACTTATACAGTAGCTTCAACCAAATACTTGAGACCAAAGTTGCTAGCTGGCCTGTCTGCTGCGCGGAAAAGGCCCAGTGCTGGAGGTCATTACATTAACACCCCAGCCAACCGGGTTACCACCCCAGCCAACCGGGTTACCACCCCAGCCAACCGGGTTACCACCCCAGCCAACCGGGTTACCACCCCATGTCTCTGTAGTACAGGTGTTAATGATTGAGTGACTAATTATCAACTACAGGCCTTAATGGTCTTGTGCCCTCTGGAGTCAGGAGTTAGAGGTCAGGGGTCAGGGGTCAGGGGTCAGGGTAGGGTGTCTGACTTGTCTATTGTTCAAAGTAGGATGAAGTTGTCCCTGGACACTTAACTAGAAAGTCAGTTTGGCGTTGGGATTGGGGGAGGGAAAGCTGACTCTAGATTTGGTTCAAAGCATTCAAAGCTAGGAGGCTCATGTAGAGACTGAGACCTGGGCTGGGCCATGACTTCTCTTCTCTCAACCTGTCTGTTGTCCCACCATCCTACTTCCTACAACTAAATAAATTATAGATGTCATCATTATTCTAAGAAGAAAATATACATCTCAATGAATTTAAACAAAATAGATCTCAACATCCTATTTTTCCCTACAGACTAGCGAAGCACTCTCTTATTCTGCACTTATCTCTCCCTGATTATCCCTATCTCATCTCTGTACTGAGCTGAGAATCGATTAAGTCCGACACAGCGAGATAACTGAGGCGTTTATGGCACAACGAACACATAACAACGCCATAATGACAGCTAATCGTGCTATAGTGTATAGTGCTATAGAGAGAGAGAGAACAGACACAGTAATACCCTTGGTAAATAAGATGTGAGCGTGGGACTCTGTTCCCTACCCATTAACTCAGGCAGCCCCACCCAAAGTAATATCTCTCCACCCCATGCCTCTCCACTTGAGGCAACGCTACAGGACAATTAGAGTACGATTAGAGATTAGAGAGCCACAACTGTACAGCCTTTCCCATGGCGTCCCATGGCACGTAAACTAGATTAAGGACACCCCCCCCCCCCCCCCCCCCCCCTTAATGAAGGTTAGTTGCAGAAGGGGGAGGGGTGAGGGTGGGGGTTGGGGGGAGGCAGAGGACACCCTTCCCTACATCCATCTAGAGTACATCCACCCATCTCCCTGTGTTTCTCCAGCTAATCTAAACTGGGAGAAAAGCTCCTAAACTCCATTTGGCCTCATTATCTGCCATCCTCTCCGTCGACCCGCCCCCCTCTCCATTCATCCTCTCCGTCGACTCGCCCCCCTCTCCATTCATCCTGGACGGTGACATCCCTGCGTTTGCTTTCCCTCCACCCCCCCCCCCCCCCCCCTCTCTCTCCCTCCGCTGAAATGGGACTAATCAAGTCTTCCGGGGGAGGTGAGGGTTGAGGTGGGGAGAGGGGGTGGGGGGGAGAGGGGGTGCTCTCAGACATATTAGATGGTGTCTGACCCGGAGCAGACGGTAGAGTGACCCCAGGCGTACGCAGTCGAGAGATGGGCGGTAATCAGGCAGGGCAGTCTGCTCTCTGGACCTCTGGACCTCTGGACCTCTGGACCTCTGGACCTCTGAACCCACAGATCAAAACAGACCAACATAAGTGTACCTCTTTCCCTCTCTCTATGTCTCTTTACGCTCTCGCTTTCAGTCTCTCGTTTTCTTAGTCCCTCTTTATCTCCTTAATTTGTCTCTGCATCAATCCCTCACTTTCTGTTTTCTGTTTATCTGTCCCATTCTCTCTTACTCTCTCCATTTCTTTCCCCTCTATTCTCTGTATATCTTCTCTGGGGGGGGGGCAGAGGAAAGACAGATATGGAGAAGGACAAGGGGTGATAGAGAGAGAGTTAAAGAGAGAGAAGGGGAGATATACAGAGATATACTCTGTCTCTCTATCACCCCTTGTCCTTCTCCATATCTCTTTCCTCTGCCCCCCCCCCCCCCCCCCCCCCCCACCACCCCCGTGTTCCCTGTCTCTCCATTCTTCTTTATCTACATGTCTCTCTCTCTCTTTCTTTTTCTCCCTGTCTTCGTTTCTCTGTCTTTTTCCTAAGCCCTCTAAATGAATGGTGTTTTTGCGGAAGAGTGCTGCTGAGTGTTGCCGGGCGAGAGGGCCCAGTGTCACCGCAGCCGGCTGATTTATCCGCAGCCGCTGTCTTCGTGTTACGCCTGGTCCCTCCACTTTCCTTTCCTGTTGTTCTTCCCGTGTTTCTTTTCCCAGATTCCTTCTCTCCCTCTCCTTCCCTCCCTCTCTCTTGCCCTCTAACACACACATAGACACATAGACTTTCTGCCCATGTCATAATTACTGTATGTCCTGGAAATGGTATACTTACACACACAAACATGTGCAAGCTCACAAACACACATCCCAAGAACGTTGTTTTTTCTAAACTTGCTCAACCAGCATCTCTGTGGAACATTCTCACAATCACCTGAAACCTACACACCTACACCTAATGCATCTGGAATGTTCCTCACACCTCTCTATACACCGCTAACACACGCCGGAGCTCTCTAATGACTACTGCATTCACTGCTCTATGATTTAATGTATGAGGCTGAACCTAGGAGGTAAGAGTGAAAAATGTCTGTGGCGACATTGCTCTAAGCATGACAGATTAAATCATTAGAATAATATTCCAGGTAGCCTGCAGTGTGGTTTTATTAGAGTGTATTATAATTTATCCCAGCTGGGGCGATTAAGAGGCTAATGACACGGGCAGCCCAGACTTCAGCCCGCCTCTCACCTTCCTCAACAAACCTTTATGGTAATTACTGCCCACAATGCACAGCTCCACAAGTATGCACAACGCAGGCAGAGTGCAAACTCGTACATGCCAAGAGGAACAGATATGTGTGTTGTGCGTGTATGTGAATGCATATGATGGACAAAAGCCAATCGATTAGAATGTTTTCATGCATAGCGCTGCACATGCATCATACACACACACACACACACACACACACACACACACACACACACACCACACACACACACACACACACACACACACACACACACACACACACACACACACACACACACACACACACACACACACACACACACACACACACACACACACACACACACACACACACACACACACACACTTGGAGGAGAATGCAGTGTCTGTCTCCTACCAGGGTTGAGATGACAGCAGATGATAAGGCTCCTTAAGGAGAAGTAGAGTAGACCAGACACTTTCTGGCTACTGGGGAACCAACCAACAAATTCACAACATCGCCAGAAACTGCAACCATCGAGGCACCCAATCGCAAGGCCCTACAGAGGGTGGTGAGTACGGCCCAGTACATCACTGGGGCCTAGCTCCCTGCCATCCAGCACCTCTATACCAGGCGGTGTCAGTGGAAGGCCCAACAAATTGTCAAAGACTCCAGCCCCCCAAGCCATAGGCTGTTTTCTCTGCTACCGCATGGCAAGCGGTACCAGTCTGGAACCAACAGGACCTTGAACAGCTTCTACCCCCAAGCCATAAGACTGCTAAAGAAGACTGCTAAATAGCTCATCAAATGGCTACCCGGACTAGCTGCATTTACCCTTTTTTGCACTAACTCTCATGCACTGACTGTTCACACACTGGACCCACACACTCACACATACTTACACTGACACCCCAACACACACTACATACGCCCACACACACATAAGACGCGCACACATGCATACTAACACTATCACACGCACACCTTCACACTCACCACATACGCTGCTGCTACGGTCTATTATCTATCCTGTTTGCCCAGTCACTTTACCCCTACCATACTGTATGAACATAGCAACCTCAATTACCTCGTAACCCCTGCACATCCACTCGGTTCTGGTACTACATGTATATAGCATGTTATTTTGACTCGTTATTGTTATTCGTTATTCACTGTGTTTCATTCCTCGTCACTATTTCTATTATATTTTTTAAAAATGTATATTTATCTTTAACTCTGTATTGTTAGAAAATGACCCGGAAGTAAGCATTTTACTGTTAGTCTACACCTGTTGTTTACGAAGCATGTGACAAATAACGTTTGATTTGATTTAGAACATTAGCTACCTGTACCCTTGGAAAGACATTAGCCAGACACACGATGTTCAGTACAGCAGTCACCACTGCCAGGGCTTTCATTCCCAGGTACATTCTCACAAGAGTCTAACTAGCACATACATTGCAGAACATCAAACGTTCAACTTTATCTCCATCTATTTCAACCAGGACTGTAAGTCACTGGAAGGCTTTCAGCTCTTGTATATCTCCATCTATTTTCACTAGGACATTCACAACTGTATGCCTCAGTTTCTATGCCCTTTTCCTCGCTGTGATCCACACGTTTCCTTCAGAGCTAAGTTCAGATGATCTGAGAGTCAGGGAGTTAAGCGACAGACAGCAGGAGGCTGTGTTTTGGTGAACAGGAGGCTTGCTGAGGCAGAACATTGCAGAATCGTTGGTGGAAAAAGTGACATGTACGACACGTCACATCAGACAGCTCAAAGACTTCACACGTCCTGTCGACACAGACTGAGGTGGAAAAGACAAAAACAGCACTGGTTCACATGAAAGCTGTGTTTACCATTAACACTGAAGAATAATGAATGCCTTTACACTCCTGCAGAGAAGTAAGTTACGTTATGTCTTCTAAAAACATAATGGTCACATTATTCTTGGACCTTCGCTTACAAGCATTTGATTGAGAGCAACACAGCATGCCAGCATCTGCGTGCGTGTGAGCATGTGTTTGTTTTCCCTAGAGTGGCAAATGGTTTGAGCAATGAAGTTCCTGTGGCCAGGCAGAGTTGGCTTGGCATACATGTACAGTATATGTGTGTGTTTGTGTGTGTGAGAGAGAGTGTGTGTGTTTAGGTATGTGTGTGAGTGTGCAGTACTCACGTCCAGGTGTGGTAGGAGGTGTGCAGAGTCCATGGTTTATCTTTGAGCTCCAGTGTTACGAACCCTCGTCTCCCGCTCCGTTGGACAGAATGGACAAAGTAGACTCTTTACCTCACTTCCTCTGTCTTTCCTTCCCCCTCTTTCTTTCTCTCTATCTCTGTTTCTCTCTCTCAGGTTAGCCTGTGTCTGTGTCTCCTCTGTGAGTGGGCTGTGGATGAGGACGCTGAACTCTCCATGGTTTTCTCCCTGTACTGCTGGGCTCTCCCCCCTCACTCACCCTCTCATCCTGTTGTCAGTTTCAGATAAGCGGCCTCTTAACAAATATCCACCGGCTTTCCCCTGCCTGCCTGACCTCTTCAAACAGGCAACTCCCGCTCTCTGTCGCCTACACTTCCACCTCTACTCAGACACAGAGAGAAAAATAGATACGCAATATATCTACTGTATGGACCGGCACAAGAAAAATTAGTCTGGAGAGTTTTCTGTAACCAGCAAAAATACCCTCTTGTCCCCAACTTCCTAAATGTGTCTCTTTCCCTTCCTCTCTTTCTCTGTCTCTCATTCTCTTTTAGTCTCTCCTCCCCTTTTTCCCTTTTCCTCTCCCTCTCTCTCTCTCTCCCTCTCTCTCTCTCTTATGCTATACAGAGAGTCCAGCTGGTAAACTCAGTTTAACTCTAATTGACTTTCCTGGCCATTTGGATCCTCCCTGATCGTGATGTCATTAAGTTAGACCACCCCCAATACCATCAAACACAAACACACACACACACACACACACACACACACACACACACACACACACACACACACACACACACACACACACACACACACACACACACACACACACACACACACACACTGTTACACTGTTAGAGATAAGGTCAGGGTGGACTGGCTAATTATTTTCCATCATTACTTTTACAAACTCACCCACTGATTTTCATTGACACCATTTTCATTATCAGCTAACATGCTGACATGATCACAGACAATACAATCTCCATTATCAATTCATGAGTATGTTACTGAATAAGACCAAACATATTCTGTTATCAGACCAAGGTATGAATGGATGACTCATAGGGGAGGATGAAGTCACTACAATTTGGGGGATGTGATTGGATGGATCGAGCCAAAAAAAGGTACATTGTAATTCTCCACTGCATTGTTCAAGCAAGGTGCAATCGTCCTTCCAGTGTCGGCCACTGAATTGGTATTCATTGGGCAGGGCTATGAGGAAACGTCTCTTTAAGATGCATCGTCTCACATATTAGATTTCATCTGGAGAATCACTTGCTTTCCCGTCCCTCTGCCCCCCCCACCCCGCCCCCCTCCAAACACACACACAACCCCAACTCCCATCAATTCACCCAGTCTGAGGGACAAAACACACGCCTTCCCATCTGTGGGCTCAGACAATTTACAGGACAGTTATCTAATGTTATCTGCGTCATCTAAACAATTACACTGTAATTACTCATATTTCACAGCAGCATTTGCTTTGATCATGACGTACAGTATTTGTCATTGTACCTCTGGATTCGTGAGGACATTATAATCCAATAAGAGGCCACTAGGAAGCAACACATGCTGCTACATGTCTGGTGTGACCATAACATTAACCCGTCCAGTCTCTCAGTGAGTAGGCTACTGCATGGACCTTTCAGTGAGTAGGCTACTGCATGGACCTTTCAGTGAGTAGGCTACTGCATGGACCTTTCAGTGAGTAGGCTACTGCATGGACCTTTCAGTGAGTAGGCTACTGCATGGACCTTTCAGTGAGTAGGCTACTGTACGTGTAAAGGATGTCACGCTGCTTGCTTAGCGAGTACCGGTTCCTCCTGACTCAGCTCTTACCGAGGCTCAAACCCAGGATCTCTGCCTTGCAAACACATGTGACCACCCTCCTGAAGTGTCTTACTCAATCGCGCCACTGAAAAGCTAGATATTCGGCAGCAAAAGTGGGGATAATTCAGGCTGAGGAGTGAGTTTCATAGACTCCCATCTGCTACAAATGGACCCTTCATTCAGAGTAGGCAACTGTAAGGACCCTTCATCACAAGAGCAGTGGTAACTCCACTTCTGCCTCCAGGTTTCTCATCCTCTGGAAAAGACGTCCGTTGTCCCACGTCCCCCTCCACATTCCGACAGGAGTGAAGGAGCTTTTAAAGTAATACCTCACCGCTCTCTTAACAAGCAGACCGGAGTCTTCCCCCTACCATCCCTCAATCCTTTTCCTGTCCGCTACACTTACTGGAGTCACATTTGGAGAAGAGGGGACAGAGACTAGGGCCCTTGATCCCTCTGTACCCTTCACTTCAAATAGTTACCTATGTCATCATCATGGCGTACTGTAGCGTTCAGCACACACACTTAATGTACAAATACTGTATTGGATGAACAATGTTGCCGCTTTGTGTGTGTCTGAAATTGGAAAAGTCAACAAAGAAACAGACCATACACACAAGGGCCTAATTCTGTTGTGGTTTGATGAATTGAACTTCAACATGGCTGACAACCATCAAGAGACATCGCATCCACGTTACTGCTCAATTAATTGCTGAATTAAAGATGATGGATTGTAGAATCAGGTGGGACTGAAAATAGCATAGTCTAGGCATAAAGGCAGGAAGTGAGGTGGGGAGAAGAGAAGATCAGTAAAGCTGTATTGACAATGGCGTATCTTGGGTCGTATGTGATCCTTGGCCTCAGCAATAACACAAACAGCTTGAACATAAATGCTTCTCAGGCGATAATGGGAGAATTTACGAGCCACTTTATGTCTGCGATAAAGTTCCAAACAAGTGGTCCAAACTGCACTCCTTATCTGTTCCCAACTAAACATCTGTTTGTTCAGGTAATCTCCTCATTAAACTGGGTTAGAACGGCACACACGGTGCATGACACACGTTCTTTAACTTCACTCTGTATACACAGTTGAAGTCGGACGGAAGTTTTTCTTAGTCCATGCCGCTCTGTCATTGCTTGTCCATATACAGTTGAAGTCGGAGGTTTACATACACCTTAGCCAAATACATTTAAACTCTGTTTTTCACAATTCCTGACATTTAATCCTAGTAAAAATTCCCTGTTTTAGGTCAGTTAGGATCACCACTTTATTTTAAGAATGTGAAATGTCAGAATAATAGTAGAGAGAATGATTTATTTCAGCTTTTATTTCTTTCATCACATTTCCAGTGGGTCAGATACTCAGTTAGTATTTGGTAGCATTGCCTTTAAATTGTTTAACTTGGGTCAAATGTTTCGGGTAGCCTTCCACAAGCTTCCCACAATAAGTTGGGTGAATTTTGGCCCATTCCTCCTGACAGAGCTGGTGTAACTGAGTCAGGTTTGTAGGACTCCTTGCTTGCACACACTTTTTCAGTTCTGCCCACACATTTTCTATACGATTGAGGTCAGGGCTTTGTGATGGCCACTCCAATACCTTGACTTTGTTGTCCTTAAGCCATTTTGCCACAACTTTGGAAGTATGATTGGGGTCATTGTCCATTTGGAAGACCCATTTGCGACCAAGCTTTAACTTCCTGACTGATGTCTTGAGATGTTGCTTCAATATATCCACATAATTTTCCATCCTCATGATGCCATCTATTTTGTGAAGTGCACCAGTCCCTCTTGCAGCAAAGCACCCCCACAGCATGATGCTGCCACCCCTGTGCTTCACGGTTGGGATGGTGTTCTTCGGCTTGTAAGCTCTCCCTTTTTTCCTCCAAACATAACGATGGTCATTATGGTCAAACAGTTATATTTTTGTTTTATCAGACCAGAGGACATTTCTCCAAAAAGTACTATCTTTGTCCCCATGTGCAGTTGCAAACCGTAGTCTGGCTTTTTTATGGTGGTTTTGGAGCAGTGGCTTCTTCCTTGCGGAGCGGCCTTTCAGGTTATGTCAATATAGGACTCGTTTTACTGTGGATATTGATACTTTTGTACCTGTTTCCTCCAGCATCTTCACAAGGTCTTTTGCTGTTGTTCTGGGATTGATTTGCACTTTTCGCACAGAACGCGTCTCCTCCCTGAGCGGTATGACGGCTGCATGGTCCCATGGTGTTTATACTTGTGTACTATTGTTTGTACAGATGAACGTGGTACCTTCAGGTGTTTGGAAATTGCTCCCAAGGATGAACCAGACTTGTGGAGGTCTACAAAAAATGTTCTGAGGTCTTGGGTGATTTCTTTGGATTTTCCCATGATGTCAAGCAAAGAGGCACTGAGTTTGAAGGTAGACCTTGAAATACATCCACAAGTACACCTCCAATTGACTCAAATTATGTCAATTAGCCTATCACAAGCTTCTAAAGCCATGACATCTTAGTGTATGTAAACTTCTGACCAACTGCAATTGTGATACAGTGAATTATAAGTGAAATAATCTGACCCTAACCGACTTGCCAAAAGTATAGTTTGTTAACAAGAAATTTGTGGAGTGGTTGAAAAACGAGTTTTAATGACTCCAACCTAAGTGTATGTAAACTTCCGACTTCAACTGTATATAAGATAGCTGATGGTGTGCTCTAAAGCCTATTGTGCACTGGTACATTTTGTAGCAATATTGCCTGAAAAAATTCCATTGAAAATAGGAAACGTTTACTTACAGATGTAGGATCTTAATTTGATCACTCTTTTGTTGCTGATAATTTTCCTGCACAGCAGGAAATGCAAACGTGTAGTGTATTCGAGGTTTAAAAAGGCTTCTAAAGTTTGTAATTTTCACTTAAAAATGTCAGACTTGATTTTCCCTAACAAAAAATGTCAACCCCTACAAAAAATGTCCATTACTTATAATACACATAATAATTCACATTTCCTGTTGCTGCAGGATAATTTTCCTGCTGTAGCAAACTGTCTCAAATTAAGATCCTACGTCTGTATCTGGGGAAATTTGATTGGCAGCACCACCACCTTAATACGGTATTCAAAAATACATTGAAGATCAAATTAAAGTATTCATCTTTAATCATTTGAAGGAAAGATAATTGGAAGTGCACGCAGTTGCCATTAGAAGGTTGAGAACAAATGATACTGGGTTTGGACTCTGAAGGAATGACACTGCAAAAAAAGTGGATGATTTGTGAGTGTTGCGTTCTGGGAAGGACAATTTGATCTTGATGTCAGAGAGTGGACTGCAGTGTGAGGGACGAGGAGGAACACAAAGGAAGACTTTCACTAACAGTTCACGTGAAATAATTGGGTTAACTCATGGACCACAAAACAAACACACACGCACAGACTCTCGTGCACACACATGGTTAGACAAACACACGCCCGCATGGTCAGACAAATGCACGCACACACGCACACAAGGAGCTGACGTTTTGCATTCCATTCCAAAGTGCATTTTTGCAGAGATAAGATTCCATTCTCCTGAGCTCACTGTTTTCGAGACAGAGTAAGGGAGAGGCAGAGGGAGATGTTGGCAGGAGAGGGTCACCCCACTGACCTCCGTCCCCCTCGTTCATTCAGACTCCCCCTCCACCGCCAACAGGTTTCCTCTCTGTGTCCTATTAACTGAAACCTTTCCTGCAAATGCATGACAAAACCTGCTGTACCAACACTTTCCTTTCCTTTCCTTTCAGGTTACATGACGAAACTCACTTTTATGTTCTCACTAACACACAGCCACACACACGCGCACACACACTGACTGTCTGACATCCGGCCCCTCCCTCCCCCAGAAACACATTCCAATGATCATGCAAATGCTGAAGACAAGGTCGTTGAGCGGGCAAACGTGGACCAAGGTGTGCGTTGAAGATTGTGTGTGTATGCGTGTGGGGGAGTGTTCGTCCTTGTTATCAAGACAATGATTTTATAAATGAGCGTGTGTATGGAGGTTAGAGGAGCGGATGTGAGAGATATACAGTGCACATATCAAACTCTCTCTCTCTCTCTCTCTCTCTCTCTCTTTCTCTCAGGGCCAGCCTGGGGTCTCAGAGGCCGTGTCTAGACTTGACAGTTCATGCAGCTTTAGTATTCTGATCATAGAGTTCTGATAATGGAATTCTGAACACGTCATGCATCTACACCTACATTTAAATGTGTCTACCGTGTCCACAGTGTGTCCGGATTCCCTTTTCCCACACTATATTCAAATGGCAGTAACGGTGGAATAGGCTAAATATGATAATAACACAGCAACAACTGATGGCAGTAGCTAACTACTGTAGCTAACAAGCCAGTTAACCTCTGTAGCTAGCCAGCAAGCTAGCAAGCAACGCTAAAGAGATTGCAAACGGGTTAGCATGTCTCTAGCCAAACAAAAATGTTTTTCTTCTAAATATTAGCTAGCTGGCTAGCATTTACGAGGCCAGCAATCACACGCTAGGAACGTATTTCCTCCAACATTATAACGAAAAGGTGGCTCTCTATCTCAAAACACATGTTTTCTGGAGACTCATGGGAGGAGTGCTGATGACGTCGCCCACTATAAGCGCTTTCGGTAGCCTGATTGCATCCAGACTGAGGAGAAATCCACATGCAATGCATCCCTGAATACCTCCTGAAGTGGTCAGCCAGATCTGAACACAATCAGACCACAATGCGACTTTTGTGCATCTAGACCCGTCTTTTCAATGCGATCTTCGTATACTGATAGTAGAAGTCGCATGCAAGTGTCAAGTGTAGACACAATCTCTTTGATCTCCATGACCTCTCAGAAGCGTGGCAGAGTCAGAGCGCACTAATTCCACCACAGGGGACTTCCCCACTAGCAACATCCATGCTGTCTAGAGCAGGCCAAGCCTTTTTATCATCCATCTGGTCAGACTGTCTATGCAAAACACACACACACACACACACACACACACACACACACACACACACACACACACACACACACACACACACACACACACACACACACACACACACACAAACACACACAAAAATGTATGTCTGCAAAGGATAGTGATCTCTGAGAGGAGTAAAGCTTTGGTTTGATCGACTTATCCAAAACCTGTCCACTCGTCAGCAATCGTCAGCAAAATACCTGTTTTTATTGGTGATCTCACCGAACATTGAAATAACAGATAGCTGCTTCATTCAAGGTTATACACAGTTCCGTGTTGCCTTAACGACGACACCAAACCATGACTGTGTCTGGGGTGACAGGGGTGTGGTACTTCACCTTCCTGTGTCTACTGTATATACATACAGCTCTAAACTAATGTCAGCTTTCAACTATTTATGTTTGAGGTATTTTCAGACTCCAAGCTGAACAAACTGCATGTGTGAAGCAGTGCCAGAGGAGAGTGGGTGATGAACCATTGATACATTGGCTGTATATTTTTTAACACAGGTGCCAATACCACCATTGAGGCCAGACTGAGTCTGGCTTCCTTGGCAAGCTGAGCACACAGTGAGTAGCAATATGAACAGTGGTGTGTCTAAGAGTATTTTCAGAGTCAGTCTGACTCACCTCCTCTCATCCGTAAACCTTTTTTCCCTTGGTCCTCTGTTCCGTTCTCATCTTTAGGGGTAATTGTTTCATTATCCTCCACGCGACCTACAAAACCAACCACAAAGTAGTCAACAGCACAACTATATAGGAAGCGCTGGCTATATCAGTGGCAATGATAATCAAAGATAATACAGGTCCTCCGTAGCTCAGTTGGTAGAGCATGACGCTTGCAAAGCCAGGTTTGTGGGTTCGATTCCCGGGACCACCAGTACGTAAAATGTATGCACACATTACTATAATTTGCTTTGGATAAAAGCATCTGCTTAATGGCATATATTAAATATCTATGATAATAATAACGACAACAATTGTGAGACGAAAAGGTAAAATACATTTAAATTACATAAGATATATTTTGTACATTTGGGTGTGCGTTCTTTTATTTTTCTCACTCATCTCCAGATACACAGTGTGGTCTTTGGCAGACCAGAGCCCATATCCACAAAGCGTCTTAGAGTAGGAGTTCTGATCTAGTATCAGTCCATATAATCTAGTCCATGTAAAAGTCCAAACGGATGTTAGATCAGCTCTCCTTCTCTCAGATGCTATGTAGAGACGGGCTCAGGACTATGTAAGCTTCGTCACCCTCCATTTCCATGGTGCCCATGATGTTTGTTCCCACAGACAACATTCATCAGTCAGTCAGTCCAGCTATCAACGCAATCTCCCCATCTGTTTATCTGTAGTGGGAACGACAAGCGCATAAACCGTAAACATAACTGCCCTTAACAGACAACCAGGGATGAGAAGAGGAACGTTTGCATCTCTGTGTGTTTGTGTTAACTGGTATGTGTATGTCTGTGTGTGTAGCTGTGTGTAACGTAATGCGTATTTCTTCTCTCTGTAGAATGCGTGTTTGTGTTTGTGTGTGTGTGTGTGTGTGTGTCCGAGTGCTCGCGTTTGCACAGCCTGTGTACAATGTGAGTGCCCATGTCTCAATTTATGGAGTTGTGTGTGATGTCCTTATAGTATATATTTGAGTAGTGTGTGTGTGGAGGGGCTGGAGGAAGGCGGCGGGGGGGGGGGGGGGGGGGTCTGTAATAACAGGAAGCTGGTCCTCTGTGTTGATATAAACCTGTCTGGTTGACAGGCCATCTGAAATAAATAAATAAGAACCCAGAACCCAAACTAGCGGAATGTTCTTTAAAAAAAGAACCTTGAGGGCTTCCTCAAACCCAAACAGGAACACCTGCAACTCGCCCCGAGCCTGGCCCGTTGTCACGACAACCACTCGCATTGTGTGTAAACAGTTTACAGTAGAACAGGGTTGGGAGGAGGGTAGAAGAACGTAGCACCGAAGTGGGGGGGATTGGGATGAGAGAAAACAGTGTGTGTGTGTGTGTGTGTGTGTGTGTGTGTGTGTGTGTGTGTGTGTGTGTGTGTGTGTGAGAAAGAGCAAGAGAGAGAGAGAGAGAGAGAGAGAGAGAGAGAGAGAGGCACAGGTTGAAGAGTTCTTTGAGTAGGAGTGGTGGTTGGGACTGGATCAGGTGACCTTGTAGCGGGACAAGGGAAACGCTATACATAGACGAGAAGAATGCACGAATAAGAACAACAAGGTTCCCAAAAAAGGCAAAATTAGCAGTTCTTTGGAAGATGGTTCGCCTCCTCATTTGACCTTTAAATGGTACAGAGGGGGAGGGAGGGGGGCGAGCTCGCCCGAGTAACGTCATCCCTCCCACTCAGGGTTAGATGAAAGTTCAGCGGTGTCATAAAGTATGACCTTCCTCACACAGAGCCAGTATTATTAGTTACAGAACCATATATTTAGTACAGTACAGCCAGGGATATCTATTTTGATTTGGGTGAACTATCTCTTTAACTCTATGGTTGTGTAGTAGCCTGGTTGTCAGTCTGTTCCTATTTTGTTTGGAGCAAGACATGTTATTCCTCTTGTCCCTGGTCACATATCGGCTCCCTACACTAGGGCCCGTTTTCACAAAGGGTTGTTCCACTTGATTTCAATCACTTTTTGACCACATCCCATTTGATTTGAACGAAACTTTCCATACATGCCCATGGTAGAAGTGGTCAGAATGTAACTTTTTGGACCTGAATGCCAAAACATTCAGGAGATAGAGGTTCCCAAAGTTCACCCATTTTTGCATACCCAACCATACCATGAGACATCCATGTCTTCATCACTGGAAAAGATTAACGGTTGAGTTTGATATGAATTAAAAGCTTTCAAACAGGGTTGTCAAACAATTTTTTTAAAATTAATAAAAATGGTGTCCTTTTTTAAAACCTTAACATAAATTATCTAAAAACGTGTAAACTCAGATTTTTTTCATTTTCACATATGTTGTAGCTTAAACCCTAATTTACACCATCTGAGATGTATGTGTTGTACCCGCCATCAGTTGAGACAGAGCATGCTCTTTAATAAAGGGTGGGTGTTTAAAACTGATATTCCCATTCAAGTCAACATTCTCTGATGGGTGGACCTCCAACCATCTTTGTAGCACCATTTGAAAGTACACATTTCTATTTTATTCAAACGATGGCAGGCACAACACAAACTCCTCAGATGATGTAGAATAGGGTCTAAGCTAAAACATATGCAAAAATTATGTTTTTAAAATGTTTTTAGATAATTGCCGTTAAAGGATAAACAAACAAAAAAAATCATAATTTTTTTCTTCAAGAAATGATAAAATAGTTTGACAACCCTTTTTTAAAGCTTTTAAATTATTTCAAACTCAACCGTTTATCTTTTCCAGTGATGAAGACATGGATGTCTCATGGTTGGGCGGGGTATGCAAAATGGGTGTACTTTTGGGCACCTCTATATCAAAAAAGTCACTTTCTGACCACTTCTAACATGGGCAAACATGTATGTGAAGTTTTGTTCAAATCAAAAGGGGTGCGGTCAAAAGTGATTGAAATCAAATGGAACAACCCCAAAGCTTCTCAGAGTAGGAGTACTGATCTGGTATTCATTTAGATCTAAAATGCAAAATTGATCTTAGATCAGTACTTCTACTCTGAGAGGCTTTGTGGATACGGGCCATGGTCTCAAATTCCTCTATTAATAATAATAATAATTTATTTAACTTGTATAGCGCTTTTCATTACAGAAAACAATCTCAAAGCGCATAAAAAGCAAACAAACAATACATTTAAATTGAGATGATGAAGATGGAGATTGAATCTCTATAGTTGGCTTCGGATGATGGAAAGTCCTGGAGTTGAGGTAGTTTGGATTGGAAATGCAGTGTAACTTCAGCGGAAGGGGCATTGATGGTACAGTCTGACAAACATTCCTGGAGCTCTTCATCAGTGCACTGATTTTCTGATGGTCAGTTCCTCCAAATGTCGCTCCTCCTTAGGTACTGTTCCTCCATTGCCGAACATGTACTGTAGTGATGCCACGGCTGCTGAAAAGCGCACAAAAAGCCACCACATTTTGGCAGTGGTTAAGAACAGTCCCTGAGCCTTCCTCTGCCATTGCTGGACACAGCATGCAGTCCTTGTTATAGTTCATCCTGACAGATGAAACAAAAAAAGCAGCGGCTGCATTATTTAAATCTAAAAGCATACTTTTCATCCCAATTCTGCAAATTTGAGAGTCAAGAATGTCAGGATGTCTCTACTGTGCTGCCTATAGAGAAGCTGCTTGGTCAGAGAGGACCACTATCTGTGGGCCCCAGAGAAAGCAGGGGATGTATGCTCCTGCAGTGTCAGCGGGGTCCAGTGGGTAGTAAAAGTGCCCCTCAGAAAGAAAGAGCAGGTGATCGTTTTTCTCCCCCAGACTGCGGTATAAAACACAAGCCTCATCTGATCCATAAAATACAACAGCCAAGCTCACAACTCATGAGGCGGAAGGACACACTGGATACAGTGTCAGTATGTGTGAGTGTGAGTGTACATGCCTGTGTGTGTGTGTGTCTGTATACAGTATGTGTGTGTGTTTCAGAATGTGTGTGTGTGTGTTATTTATGTGTTATTTCACTCCGTCAGAGCCCTAGCTCCAGATGTGCAGGGGTCACAGGAGGAGTTTAGCTCTCCCAGATATTGCCAGGTGTTGCCTGTGACATCACGCCACCAGACCCATGGCCTCCCTCCACACAGGGTTTCATCTAGAGGTCACAGGGTCATGTCTGTCTGCCTGTCTGTCCAATCAGCACTCCAGAATGGGAGGAGAGGAGCACCAGGCTAGGACAGGGCCAGGCTGAGGTCCAGCTTCGCTGTGGCAGGAAAGGGACACTCAAGTTCTATAGCACACATTAGGGTTGAGGAGGGAGGGAGAGCTGGGCTGGTTACGAGGAACGGGGTAGTAGAGTGGAGGGGGGGGGGGGGGGGGGGGGGGGGGGGGTGCAGAGGAGGTTGGGTGCAGTGTGGAGGGTGGAAGGCAGTGGGGGATAGGATGGAGGAAGATTGCCTCTCCTTGTTATCTAGGTTCAGTGTTTACCCAGATTCCAGCTCTAGGATACTATCAGTAAATAAGCGGCCAGGGAGACGTGCTCTGGGACCCCGCCAAAAATGACCTGCCCCCCCCTGCCCTCCCCTACACACACACACTGACCCCACCCCCACCATCCGATGCCCAACTATGAGCTCTGAGGGACAGGGGTGGAAGGCCATGGGGTGGGGGGTGTTATGGGGAGCATTTCTTCTAGCAGTAGACAGACCAGGCTAAGCAGCCTGTACAGAAGACCTGGATAGAGAAACAGCTGCTCTGAGTAGGATGAACAGAGTAATAGAACCTGCACTCATTTAGACCTATAAATACGTACCACATTAATACAGTATAATCATAATAGATCATAATCATATCAATTATAAAGAGTCAATTATAAAGTGTCTTCCTCCATCTCCTCCCCACTCATCCCTCTCTCTCTCTCCTTGCTCTAGTGATGGACCACAGTATCAACATCATAATGACTCTTTCAAAATGACAGTGTAACGCCGTTTGATTTACTTCAAAATTTCCAAGTGGTTTTGTAGTCTGCCCTTCACTTTTTAACGCTCTCTCCTCCCCTCTCCCCCTTCTCTCTCCCCATCTCAGCCTCCCTCTTTTCATCTCCCCCTCCCAGCCTCCCTCTCTCCATCTCCCCCTCTCAGCCTCCCTCTCCATCTCCCCCTCTCAGCCTCACTCTCTCCATCTCCATCTCTCCCTGCGACAGTAGAGAGCAGACAATGTCGGGTTCCCCTGGTAATTTTGGAGGGGACGGAAGTAACCGCGGCGTCCCACCCCGGGCCCAGACTGAGCCCACTGATGATTCATCGGCCTGCGTGACGAAGGTTTGACGACCCCAATTTGAGAGGGGGAGGAGGAGGAGGAGAAGGATGATGAGTAGAGTGGGAAGAGGTGGAGGAGGGGACGGCGATACCTAAATCAGTCGCTCGCTAATGGGCAGATGTCCTTGTCCCTGACACAAGTAAATCAAGCCTCATGAGAAGAGGGGAGAAGAGGAAGAGGAGAGAGAGAGAAGAGGAGAGAGAGAGAGCAGGAGAAGAGAGAAGAGAGAGAGAGAGAGAGAGAAGATATATCGAGATAGAGAGAGAGAGAGTATGAAAGCTCTGCTAGAGTACCTCCTCTCCTAGCTCTCTCCCTGCTCGAGCTCTCCCGCTCTCTCCCCCTCTCCCTCTCTCTCGCTCTCCCCTCCTCTCTCTCTCTCTCTCCCCGCTCCCGCTCTTCTCTCTACTCCTCTCTCCTCTCTCTCTCTCCTCTCTCTCTCTCTCTCTCTCTTCTCTCTCCGCTCTCTCTCTCCCTCTCCCTCTCTCTGCTGCCCCTCTCCCTCTCCCCTCTCCCTCTCCCCCCTCTCCCTCCTCGCTCCCCCCTCTCTCCTCTGCTCTGCTCTCTCCTCCTTCTCTCTCGCTCCCCCTCTCTCTCTCTCTCTCCCTCTCCTTCTCCTCTCCTCTCCTGCTCTCCCCTCTCTCTCTCTCCTCCTCTCTCTCCTCCTGCCGCGTCTCTCTCTCTCCCTCTCCCTCGCTCTCCTACCCCATCAAACCACCTTCCTAACCCAAACTTATGACCCTGGGTCGTCCCCATTTCTTTAAATCTTTCCCCCTTCTGTTTCCTTTTTTTCCCTTTTGTTGGGGTTTTCTCGACTCCCATGCCCCCGCTCAATCTAAAATTCGGGGGGGGGGGAAAAAAAAACCCTTTGCTCGGGGGGGGGGGGGGTCTTCCCCTTTAACCTTCCCTCTTTTTTTTTTTTTTTTTTGGGTCAAAACTCTCCCCCCCCCATTCCCCCCCAACCTCCTATATGCACAAACACCTGCTCGTCGAACCATCTCCATTCCAAAATCATGGACATTTATTATGGAGTTGGTCCCCCCTTTGCTGCTATAACAGCCTCCACTCTTCTGGGAAGGCTTTCCACTAGATGTTGGAACATTGCTGCGGGGACTTGCTTCCATTCAGCCACAAGAGCATTAGTGAAGTCGGGCACTGATGTTGGCCAATTAGGCCTGGTTCGCAGTCGGAGTTCCAATTCATCCCAAAGGTGTTCGATGGGGTTGAGGTCAGGGCTCTGTGCAGGCCAGTCAAGTTCTTCCACACCGATCTCGACAAACCATTTCTGTATAGACCTCGCTTTGTGCACAGGGGCATTGTCATGCTGAAACAGGAAAGGGCCTTCCCCAAACTGTTGCCACGAAGCACAGAATCATCTATAATGTCATTGTATGCTGTAGCGTTAAGATTTCACTTCACTGGAACTAAGGGGCCTAGCCCGAACCATGAAAAATAGCCCAGACCATTATTCCTCCTCCACCAAACTTTACAGTTGGCACTATGCATTAGGGCATGTAGCGTTCTCCTGGCATCCGCCAAAACCAGATTCGTACATCGGACTGCCATATGGTGAAGCGTGATTCATCACTCCAGAGAACACATTTCCACTGGTCCAGAGTCCAATGGTGGCGAGCTTTACACCACTCCAGCCGACGCTTGGCATTGCGCATGGTGATCTTAGGTTTGTGTGCGGCTGCTCGGCCATGGAAACCCATTTCATGAAGCTCCCGACGAACAGTTATTGTGGTGACGTTGTTTCCAGAGGCAGTTTGGAACTCGGTAGTGAGTGTTGCAACTGAGGACAGACGATTTTTACGTACTATGCGCTTCAGCACTCAGCAGTCCCTTTCTTTGAGCTTGTGTGGCCTACCACTTCGTGGCTGAGTCGTTGTTGCTCCTAGACGTTTCCACTTCACAATAACAGCACTTACAGTTGACCGGGTCAGCACTAGCAGGGCCATTCTACTGCCAGTGTTTGTCTATGGAGATTGCATGGATGTGTGCTCGATTTTATACACCTGTCAGCCGAATAGCCGAATCCACTAATTTGAAAGGGTGTCCACATACTTTGGTGTAAACAGTGCATTCGGAAAGTATTCAGACCCCTTGACTTTTTCCACATTTATTACGTTACAGCCTTATTCTAAAATGGATGAAATCGTTTTTTTCCTCAACAATCTACACACAATACCCCATAATGACAAAGCAAAAACAGGTTTTCCCCAAAAGAAATTGGGCCACTCAAGGACATTCAGAGACTTCCCGAAGCCACTTGGCTGTGTTGTCTTGGCTGTGTGCTTAAAGTCATTGTCCTGTTGGAAGGTGAACCTTCACCCCAGTCTGAGGTCCTGAGAGCTCTGGAGCAGGTTTTCATCAACGATCTCTCTGTACTTTGCTTTATTCATCTTTCCCTCGATCCTGACTAGCCTCCCAGCCCCCGCCACTGAAAAACATCCCCACAGCATGATGCTACTAACACCATGCTTCACTGTAGGGATGGTGCCAGGTTTCCTCCAGACGTGATGCTTGGCATTCAGGCCAAAGAGTTCAATCTTGGTTTCATCAGTCCAGAGAATCTTGTTTCTCATGGTCTGAATAGCAAAGGGTCTGAATACTTATGTGAATAAGGTACTTCTGTTTTTTATTTTTAATACATTTGCTATAATTTCTAAAAATCTGTTTTCACTTTGTCATTATGGGGTATTGTGTGTAGATTGATAAGGGGAAAAAAGTATTTAATCAATTTTAGAATAAGGCTGTAACGTAACAAAATGTGGAAAACGTCAAGGGTTCTGAATACTTTCCGAATGCACCATATATATATATAGTGTAGATTGAGATTGCAGTCTGGTCCGGGGAGGGAATGGGGGGCATGAGTGAGTTAAATTATAAGCAATTAGCCTCCTGAAAACGTGCTTTTGATGATGTGAAAAACAAAGATGAGTACAGGAAGGAGAGCAGAGGGGAGAATAACTCTACTGTAGTGAAGCAAGGACTGGAGGATGAGAGTCTTTGGAGGGAGGAGGAGGGACTGATTGTCGCGAACTGTCCTCCCTTCCGTTCTTGTGGGAAGTGTCTGCACAGCGCTCCAGTCACAGACACAGAGTTAATGACCACAGGAAGAAAAACCTTTAAATGTATGTGATTCTGCCCCTGATTAAATAGCTTTACGAGACTTCCACTTCTCAGTGCCAGGGCGCTTTCCGTTGTAGATAAATTAGCACACATCTCCTTTGCACCTCTGTTAAAATAACCAGATTTAGTCATTTAAGGACATGCAAGAATGTCTAATGCATTCTTGCTCATCGAACAGGAATGCTTTTCAACATAACAAGATGTTGAAATAAAGCCCTTGGCATAGCAGGGTCAGGCCTGAGCCCTTGCCCACACCAAGCTCCAACAGGAAACCGCTTCTCAGATATTGTCTATCTACTTCCTGTTTTTGTCTAATTAAAGGATTATTGCAGTGAGATCCTAACAGCCTGGAATGGTCCGTTAATACTGTTGGACCTGTTGTTCTCTGGCCTGGACGTCTGCAACGAGGTTCAGGAGTGGTTGGGAGACCAAGGAAGGTCCCAACTTGACTGGAAATATGAAACGTATTTACCTTCCCCTGGCCTTTGAACATCCTAAAAGCCTGTGTAGCTGATAGAAATATGGAGGACTCCATTTAACCCTTTTGGAGGGTTGGATTGTCATCAAACATACCAAAATGGCAGCTTTGCTTTCCTGCCCTCCTCTGATTGGCTGGGGAGTGAACTTCACAGCTTGTGAAGCGATCCAATCATTAGTTGGGAACTCTGTTGGTGGGTCATCAGCATCATAGACAGTCATTAGCAGCATCTTCCTGTGTTTAGCCCTGTGGGAATGGGAGTGGGCCAGTTAGGGCTCTCTAGGCTTTGATGTAGATAAAGTAAGATAACTTTAATCTCTTGCTAATTAGTGAACCCCCTTCTTCATGTTTTCCTGTCTAGACTGAGTACATGCGACCCCCTCCCGTCCTTCCCCATTAGGTCACTCAGGAAGCGAAACTATGTTCCCCTACTTTACTATGATGTGTTGGAAAGCACAGTCAGTCAGCAGCTGATATGCTCAAACCATAGACTGTATATCAACACGCTCAAACCCAGGGAAGAAAGAAAAGTTGGAATTTCAAGTCATTTATGACTCAGTCTAAATAGTTGAACATCTTTCGTATACATAGCAAACCTACTCAGACACTACTAATAGATGCAACATTTCCTGGGAGATGTTGGGGTCAGGAACACATACTCTACACATCTATAGTATTATATAGTATTATATAAATGAGCAGGCTTGAGGCCTCCTGGTATGAGCTGAGTGGGGTTGTTTGGGTTTGAGACCCAGACGTCTACTTGCCTGGGTCTCTCTGCTGGCATGGTCCCCTGCCTGGGTCTTTATCTCCCTGGCCACACGGAGCGCCTGGCCCTCACAATCACTGGAGCTCCTCCAACATTCCCTCACAGGCTAGTCAAACAAACCTGGGGCATGCCGCCTGCCCGTGACTCAGTCAGTCCCCCCTCTGTCTGCTCTGCTCTGAATGCCGCACAGCGCCACAATGGGCACATTCCAGTCAACATCCCCAGTGGCCCAAGGAGCCACCTTCTTAATCTCCTGTATGAAGAAACCAAACAACAGCATGTCTGATGGAGGGCACTGTGACCCAATCGCCACTGTGTTTTTCATATTATTCTAAAGTCCAGGGTTTTTTCTATGGAGAAACTGTTGCGCTTTCCGTCCGCATAAAGTACATGTTTTAGGTAGCACCTCTTCTCCATTTGTTTGAGCACA